TTCACCAAACTATACAAATCCTTATCTGCCATATATAATATTATTTTCAGTAATAAAGGGTGACAAGAGCTGAAAATAACATTCACAGGGATGGAAATACAGAAATCACTATGGGAAGGGTGAACTGTCTTCAGTCTGATCTTTAGGATGCACAAGTCCATATAGTAACTCCACCTACGGGCCACGCACAACGTGTGGTTTTTAGCCTCTTCCCCCTGAAATCTAACAAAACCAACATCTATACAAAAGATAGACTGTGTGGGCCTCCCTCCTTACCCTGGTATATCGTCCTCCCATGGTCCGGGGAGACATAGTACCTCCTACGGTCCGGGGAGATATAGTACCTCCTATGGTCCGGGGAGACATAGTACCTCCTATGGTCCGGGGAGACATAGTACCTCCTATGGTCCGGGGAGACATAGTACCTCCTATGGTCCGGGGAGACATAGTACCTCCTATGGTCCGGGGAGACATAGTACCTCCTATGGTCCGGGGGAGACATAGTACCTCCTATGTGACCTATTCCATCTAGCCGTATCTAGCCGTATCTGCTGTATTTCTGCCTGGGAGCAGATCTCCACCAAAACATTTGCTCTAATTTAAAAGCTCCCCTAATGAAGCTTTAGTGCGAAACTGGAGCAGACAAAATCTGGAGCAGTCGCCCAGGGCAACCCAATCAGCTTCTGTCTTCAGTTTGCTCAGTTAAGATTTGAAAATGAAAGAGAGAAGCTGATTGGTTGTCATGCACCAGGTTTGTCTGCTCCAGTTTTGATAGATCCCCTCTGTGTTTCTCCATAAAAGAGCAAATTGGTTTTCATAATGTTAATTAAATCCTGGTGCTCATTGTAACTGTATCTATGGATCAAAAGGGGATGTCCCTAGTGCCGGTGGACAGCAGTTATCATTTCTCCACCATGCATCGGCCCAAACCATGGTATGTGGAGCACATGCAAGCACTATCCATCTCAGCTAGTGGGAGGAGGGGTGAGTTCACAGTTTGGCATCTTTCCAATGGTTTCCAAAAGACCTAATCCCATCACCCATTCTGAGGATGTTTTTAAATGTTGTGGATGAACTTTGAAGACATTGTTTGTTTTGTTTTTTTTTGCCTGCCAATGTACCTTTGTAACTTCTACCTGCTTCTCCGTATCTCTCAGGCTTTACTCCCATTGTAGTCATCACCAACAAAGCAGGGCAAACCACTTCTGACATTGAGGACAAGTTCAGAGTCATGGGAGCCGAGCAGATCATATCACTGGAGAACTATACCACAGAAGATCATGAGAGGACCCGGGGGAGGGACACTGACATACTGACATTTCTCTACAATGCTCTGCAAGATGTCGCCTTTCACATGTCCCACCAACAGGATCCGAGGAGGGAGAGAGTGGAGAGAAAGACGTTTCTCCTCAATTATATTTACAATGTACATGCTAAAAATTAGGTGCATGAGGCAATAGAAAAGAAAAACTCTAATCTCTGTTAATCTCTACTACAAAGGTAGAATCTTACACTGTCCATATTGACCCTCCTAGTTGGGGGAGACTGTGGCTGTTGTATGCCTTCCCTACACTGTATCCACTATTGTCTAATACGGTGGTGAGTAACTCTATTCCTCAAGGCCTTCTAGCAGTTCATGTCTTCCCTTCCACTAGGTTTCTCCACAGCCACATTGATCAATACCCAGTGCAGGAGAACCTCATTCATGGTCTCAGCGGTGGGAATTGAAAACAAAAAGCATGCACTGCCGGGGGCCCGAGTGATGTGATTACATGTAAGATCAGAGGAGAATTTGAAGTATTATTCAGTCCTCATATTTAGGACAAACAACCCTCAATTCTATTCCAGAGGGAGTCTGTACTGAATGACTTGACCCCGAGCGTACAGGAGAACAATGGCATCCCAAGTCCAGCTGCAATATTGTCCCCCATAGACAGATACATGAAGACAATAATTTACAGAAGGATCCCCAGACAAACTCTCAGACCATCTCTGACTTACTCCCATATACTATCTACTAGAGATGTTCTTATAACAGCTGCATAAATAGGGTAACTTTCAGGTGTATGACCAACTTGATCTGTTTATTTTCAGGCATCTAGCCCCACTGACATACCCCCAAGACCTTCAGGAAAAGATACTAAATAGTGATCACATTTAACATATAGGTCAGGGCCAATGTTACTTTGTCCAGAGGTGGTCTTCAACATCCTGGTCTTAGAAAAGTTTAATCCACTTTAGCCATTTTCATTATAAAGCTTCAATATATTGTATATCAGAGTCAATGTAACGCTTACATTTATATGAAATCATAATAGTCAGATCTGCACGTGTCTGACATCATATCATGTGTGATTGTTTGGGGGTCCGCATGAATATTTGGCAAGACAATAAAAGTTTTTCCTCTTAAAGAACTACTTGTGTTTTGAATTTTTTCCCTATGTTTGCAAAGGAAGGCACACAATATTTACTATAGGGTGATATGGAGTGTGATGAGGCCATTTACAGTGAGCCTCTCCCTATCAGAAGCCCAGTGAAGCTGGGGGTCGGCGGAGTTATTCCTTAACTGGCTCCCAGAAAGCAAATACATTCCAGCCAGGGCCCCAGCAGCGCCCGGCTCTACCCAAAACTCTCAAATGGTGTTGTTTTTTTCCGCTACAGACTTTAGGTGTCACCTTATACTTGTGGAAGTTTCCCTGACCTCTTAACTAATGTAAAACGTGTACATAGACATATAAACTATAGGTATGTGGACCCCCCTCCAAATGGTTGACTATTATGATGTCATAATAGTCAGATCTGCACGTGTCTGACATCATATCATGTGTGATTGTTTGGGGTCCGCATGAATATTTGGCAAGACAATAAAAGTTTTTCCTCTTAAAGAACTACTTGTGTTTTGGATTATTTTTACTTATGTTTGCAAAGGAAGGCACACAATATTTACTATCAGGTGATATGGAGTGTGTTCAGGCCAGGGCCGGCCTTAGGCCTTTAGGCGCCCTGTGCGAGAAAGTTTTACAGCGCCCCTCAGTGACCACACCCCTCGGTGGCCACACCCTTTAGTGGCCACACCCCCGTAACCACACCCATTTTCCCAATATCCGCAGGGATAGGCAAGCTAGTTATTTACAAACACCGGAGTGAATGTATACAATAATCACAATTATTGTATACATTTACGGGGGGACAATTGTGATTATTGTATACATTTACGGGGGACAATTGTGATTATTGTATACATTTACGGGGGACAATTGTGATTATTGTATACATTTACGGGGGACAATTGTTATTATTGTATACATTTACGGGGGACAATTGTTATTATACGTGTCGCTAGTTATTTACAAACACCGGAGTGAATGTATACAATAATCACAATTATTGTATACATTTACGGGGGGACAATTGTGATTATTGTATACATTGACGGGGGACAATTGTGATTATTGTATACATTTACGGGGGACAATTGTGATTATTGTATACATTTACGGGGGACAATTGTTATTATTGTATACATTTACGGGGGACAATTGTTATTATAGTATATATTTACGGGGGACAATTGTTATTATTGTATACATTTCCCAGTGACCTCCGCTACCCTCCTCTGTCCTTCTTTATTACTCCTTCCACTTTCACTGCAGCCCCCCGACTCTTTCAAGAACACCTGTCAAGGAAGAAACACGACCTCTGCTGACCTCCTGGAAATGCTAGCTTGCTGGTTGTCATGCGATTTTCGGGTTCCAATGCTTTCTGGGCCACTGACCCGAAACCAGCACGCAGGTTGGTAGTTGTGACTTTACTGGTGACATGCTTGTCTGGATCAGTAGCTCAAAGTACTGAAGTTGGATGCAACCAAGGAACTAACACTTTCAGGAAACCATGGCCAATCTGAGCCCCCTTTGTTCTCTCGGGGTCTGAACTGAACTTTGCTGTAGATTGGATTATAATCAGTACTAAAAAAACACTGCAGTCTTTTAGCCATGTATTGGGTAAATATGAACGATCGCAGATGATGATTTTATGCTTCCACATGCAGCCAGCAGGGGGAGTTCTGGACTCATTTTCACTCCAATATTTTAGTATCTCTCACTGCTGACAGAGCTCAATGTGAACTTTGCAGGGACCTCTTCTCCTCAGTGCACTGACTCCTCCCCCTATCTGTAAAATAACGGTGTTGTATAAATAGTGAAAAAGAAAAAACAAACTATATTTAAAAATAAGAAAATTAAAACAAAACAAAAAAACACCAAAAACAGATTCAGGTCTTTGTCACATCTGGAACTTCCCCCTGCCGGATGACAAGTGTCACAGTGCCTTGTTGTGCTGGGATCCGGCGCTGGGTCTCCTCTCCAAACCATGGCCAAGGTACTTCTGGGTTTTACAGGACAGACAGGGCTCCTGATTGGCACCACCTTAAATTGTATGGCTGGGTTCAAGCAATGTGTCGGTACATTTTAGCCGAGCTCCCCTGTTGAGGGTACTTACCTGTACCCCCCTCCAGATACTCTGTGTCTCCAAGTGACCCCAGTACTTCCGAGGGCCACGTAACTCTATGTGTACTCCAGAGGACCCTGTGTCATCCGGAGATCCCAGTGCTCCCCCTAAGGGCCCAATTACTCCACGTAAACCCAGAGGACCCTGTGTCATCCGGTGATCCCAGTGCTCCCCCTAAGGGCCCAATTACTCCACGTAAACCCAGAGGACCCTGTGTCATCCGGTGATCCCAGTGCTCCCCCTAAGGGCCCAATTACTCCACGTAAACCCAGAGCACCCTGTGATCCCAGTGCTCCCCCTAAGGGCCCAATTACTCCAAATACCGGAAGCTTCTCTGAATACCGTCCGCAGGAAGAGGGGCCGGACAATACAGGTCTCATGAAGAACAATCACTCCCTATGAAACGTATCGGGAACGGACACAAAGTAGATAAAAAGTTTTATTTTTGACAAAACAGTTTTCATATAAAAAAAGAAGGAGCACGACTGCAATGTATCACACACAGTGGTAGTAGCGCAGTACACCCTCCTCTCCGCCAGGCAGGTCGCTACACAATGTAACATCTGATACAGATGAGCACAGGCGGCCCACACAGAGGTCAGAGGGCATACGGGTTGGCGTGAATGGTGACGTCTTTGATCCGAACCTCCGTCAGCGGGCGGAATGACTTCTCGTGGACCGGAAGCTTCTCCAACTCATCCAGAGTGTCCAATCCATCGATCACCCTGCGAGAGACCGGGAGTCAGATAGAAGACGGAAGGGGAGGATGGAGGTCAGATAGAAGACTGAAGGGGAGGACCGGAGGTCAGATAGAAGACTGAAGGGGAGGACCGGAGGTCAGATAGAAGACTGAAGGGGAGGACCGGAGGTCAGATAGAAGACTGAAGGGGAGGACCGGAGGTCAGATAGAAGACTGAAGGGGAGGACGGAAGGTCAGATAGAAGACTGAAGGGGAGGACGGAGGTCAGATAGAAGACTGAAGGGGAGGACGGAGGTCAGATAGAAGACTGAAGGGGAGGACGGAGGTCAGATAGAAGACTGAAGGGGGGGACGGAGGTCAGATAGGAGACTGAAGGGGAGGACGGAGGTCAGATAGAAGACTGAAGGGAAGGACGGAGGTCAGATAGAAGACTGAAGGGGAGGACGGAGGTCAGATAGAGGACTGAAGGGGAGGACGGAGGTCAGATTGAACAAGCTATAGATCAGTTTGGAGCCCAGGTTATTGGCCAATGGCTGCACTGGAAGATAAAGGGGGAGGGGCACAGCAATACAAAACATCCCATTCATCGTGATAAGACTAGAGGGAGGGGTGACCCCCTAGGTCGGATATCCTGAATGTTGTCACCTAAACGTCCCCAATAACTCACTTCCCGAAGATGGTGTACTTCATGTCCAGGTGAGGCTGCTTGCCGTATGTGATGAAGAACTGCGAGCCGTTGTTGCTGGAGCCGCTATTGGCCATGGAGACCACGCCGCGCACGCTGTGCTATGGGGGAGGGGAGAGTTCAATCAGACAGGAGTGAATGCGGAGGAGTCTTTGTGTTGTGTCATGTGATCTGAGGGTCACATGACCCGGATCTCCTGTCATTGGGGTGAGACTCACCTTTAGGTATTCACTGAATTCATCCTCGAAATTCCGTCCCCAGATGCTCTGACCTCCCTTCCCCGTCCCTGGTGGAGGAAACCATGAGAGGCCATTAGTGGGAGCCGAGGCCATAGAAGACGACGGGGAGACTATCGAGGCTTCAAAACCCGACCTGTGCGCGGGACTGTCCAGGAGCAATGTATCAATATATCACTTCAATACCCTCATATATACCCTCAGACCCCCCCATAATACCCTCAGACCCCAATATATACCCTCAGACCCCCCATATATACCCTCAGACCCCCCATAAATACCCTCAGACGCCAATATATACCCTCAGACGCCAATATATACCCTCAGACCCCCCCATATATACCCTCAGACACCCCCATATATTCCCTCAGACCCCCCAATATAAACACTCAGATCCTGATATATACCCCTCCCCCCATGTATACACTCAGATCCTCATATATTCCCTCAGA